CCGTGCGGCTTTCTGGAATTTAATAGAAGCATTGCACATTCCCTCGATCCGATTCATTGACCCGTGCGGCTTTCTGGAATTTAATAGAAGCATTGCACATTCACTCGATCCGATTCATTGACCCGTGCGGCTTTCTGGAATTCAATAGAAGCAACCTTTATTAAGAGAAACTCGATCACCGTAACGTGAGTGAATGGGAACAAGCTCTAAGTATAATGCCGATGTAATATCCTTGGTATATGATGTACGTTTCTACTGCAGATGCACCAACCAAAGGTTTGAGAATTATTGATAAATGTTGCACTGTGTATAGAACAGAGTATCGTGCACAAGCGCAAAGCTGCCTCGTCTCACAACTGAGTAAAGTGATGACTGTGATTATCTATTGTTTCATATTAACATTATGACACAGAAAACCTGTAATACAGCGTGAATGTAAATAATTCTGATATTTTCAGAAAAATGGAGAATTTTATTGCTTGACCTTGGATATGACCAGTAACATTGACCTTGGGTGGTCAAAGTCGTACGTTCAATGGGTAGCTGACACTAAATAATATAAATGTAGAATGTAAAACAAACATTCTTAACAAAGTTTTTTTTCGTGCTAAGTTTGTAATTGATGACTTGTTGCCATGGTAACTGTGGTCAGCTACAAATTCAAAGGTGGTAACATGCACATTCTGAAACTAGGATAGACTCAAAACACTTTTATAGATGTCTCATGCTTTCAATCAAAAAATTCCACGAGTCCTCTTTTTTGAGCCTTTTATTCACTGCGATATGTTATTTTAGTTTTTATTATAGAAATTACAGGCTTAGCTAGAACATAAATTACCATCAGTCAAAGTTTCCTGAAGTTGTGAAAGTAGAAAACTATATCTAAAAACTCGATTAGGCTATCAAGGAAGTGTCTCAGACACATCTATTCAGTTGAAAAATGCTTTATTTGTTTTCAAATGTGTACAAAATGAATTGACGTTCGAAACGCCTTCACTCGCACTTTATTCAACCTGGATAGCATACCTTATTATTTAATTGTAGATTTTTAGGGACAAACATTTACCGTTATATCAAATTACTGATTCTAGATAAATAAACTTTGTTGAACTAAGTAATTCTTCAGCTTGTTCGCAATGATAAATTATTAGTATTCTATTATGATGAAATTCTTATGTACACAAAATACTGTTTCGGCAGTAAAGCAATATTCCATGAAAGGCCGGGTGTGTTTAGGTAGTTAGCAAGCTCTGACTGTGAATTCGAGGATTCTAGTTTCCTAGCCCATCGCCACATAAACGCGCTCTGGCATTCTTACATTCAAGTTTTACATTCTTATTGCCCCCCCCCCCGGGACGTCGTTAAGCTTAAGGGCTTAAAACGCTAAATTTGGAGTTGGAAACAAATAAACAAACAATTATTACATTCAAGTACATGTAAGTGAACCGCTAGTAAACCGATAAACTACAAACTAACATACATTATTTACAAAATAATTCCTATTAAGAACCTCCATACTATCATAGATAATTTAAAATATATTTGTTAGTTTATAGGATTTTCAATTAAACTAATTAGTTTTTCTGGGTTGACATGCCAAAGAACAAACTGCATTAAACATAAACATATGTTCAAAGTACATCGAATTAATATTTCATTCTAACATTAAATCGCGGTACTTCATCATGATAACTATTTTCAACGAGTTTATTTCTAGCATTATACAGACTTATGTTATATATTAGAATATAGATTTTGGCCTAGAAAAGTAATATACTTCTGTTACTATCTCCAGAAGTACATTTTAAAAGTGGTCGCTGCCAAATGCATGAGCATTTTCATCTTTTTTATTCAAAAGTTTATTTTACTCTTAATTAAAATCCATTTCAAAATCATATATGGAAAAGGAAAGACAATTTGTCTTGCTTTTGAAATGAATTAATCTTAGATTTATCTCATGGTCATGTCTGAAATAATAAATGAGGTCTTACAAGCAAAATGAAATGGCGGACGATTTCAATTTCTCTACCAGATCTGTAATAATTAATAACTGTTAGCAAGGTTAGAAGCCATCTTGTCACCCATAGCATTACTGTTAGTCTTAGTGCAATGTTCGTTCTTAAATTAATATTTTAAAGATAAAGATAAGCCTGAATAGATCAATAGCGAGCCCGGCATGGCCAGATGGTTAGGGCGCTCGACTCGTAATCTGAGGATCGCGGGTTCGAATCCCTCACACCAACAATGTTCGTCCTTTCAGCCGTGGGGGCGTTATAATGTGACGGTCAATCCTACTATTAGTTGGTAAAA